TATCTTATATTTTTTATTTAAAAATCTTATTTGTAAAATAAACCAAAATCTGTACAAAAATAGATCTATCAAGAGCAAAAATTTTAATATGTATCAAAAAATAAGATGAACAAAAGAATGCTTTATTAACCATATGTGAACATTTTGAATGCAATATCATGTCTTTTGGACTTATAAATGCTTTGGTTTCTTTTTAAAATCTTATATATATATATATATATATATATATATATATATATATATATATATATATATATATATATAATTTCTAAATATTTTTTAATAAAGATAATATTTTGATTTATTTTAAGAACATAAAAGAACATAAGTAATATATTTTTTGTCTACTACAAAAACTAAAGATATAGGATTAAATGTCAAGATAAAGAAATCAATTTAATTCAAATGTTTAGAATATATTATTTTAAATTGATGGTCTATAAAAGATTCAAAAATAATTTAAATTATTATAAATTTTAAAAAATAAGAACAAAAAGAAATATTCAATTTTTGTAAGAACTATTAATTATCAATAAATATTTATCAAAAATATTTTTCAATTAAGAAAATCTACTTATATGTTTGATTTATAAACTTAAGTGGAGCAAAGATGCTAAAATAAAATTTTAAAATTCAAAAAAATATATATTATGATACCAATCTTATAATGAGTTAAATATTTTAAGCCATTTTTATATTTTAGTATAATTTTATTACAAATGGAAGCAAATAACAAAATTCTTTCTATAGGCTTTTATTCTAAAATATTTCAACAACTAATATCAATTAAAAGATCCACTACAAAAATAATTCTTGCAATTATAGATCTATTTCAAGAATGACGTCAATATTTAGAAGGAATTTTTAGTCTAGTGACAATGTACACTCATCACAAGAATCTCAAATATTTTATACTAGCATGTGTATCAAATTATTGAAAAGCTTGTTGGCTCATATCTTTGTGAAGACTTAAATCCAATATTACTTATCAAACAAGAAAACAATCATTTTTATTAGATGATTTATCTAGACACACTTATTTTGTAGCAAAAGAAGGAGAAGTAATTTATCATGAAAAATTAAAAATTCTTTTGAAATTATAGTGATTTTATTTTAAATCTATAAAACTAACAATATTAGTCAATTCAATATTTTTTTATCAACTTTATTCCAATATGTCCTTAAACCATCTTATACATGACATTAACAATAATTCTTATTAGTTGTATGATAATTCTAGGTTAGAATTTAAAGACAATCTTATATGTTCTAAAAAGTGAATCACAACTACGTGTTCTTTGAACTTGTCACAATTTTCATGCAATACAACATTATGGATACAAAAAAAAAATTAGAATTAATCTCGAGAGATTTTTGGTGGCTTTAAATATAGAAGATAGTAAATGACTTTGTACAATCATGTGATATTTTTTCAAGATCAAAGACCTCTTATTATTGGTTTTATCAACTTTCTTAATTATTACTTATACTATATCAACTATAGTCATTTGTTTTTAGAATTTCAATATAGATATTTTTTTTAGTTTTTAAGATTTTATAATTATAATAGTAGATTTTTTAATTAAGATGAAATATTTTATACAATAACTATCATAAATAAAAAATAAAAATAAAAACTATTTTTTTCTTAACAACATCTATTGCTATTATAGATTATCAAAAGATATTAATTTGGACAAAGACATTCAATTCATATCCAAATTTAAGAAGATTATTTTCAAAATATCAAAGATGGATATAAAACTATTGACAAATCTTTATCTTTAAACTAATAGACAAAAAAAAGTGAATTAAATATTAAAGAAATATTTACAAAATATCATCAATTACCATGAAAATAATTAAAAATTTCTTTTTACTATTGACAAAGTTATTTCCAATAATACAATACATTCTTTTATTTAATGATCATGGTAACTATGGATATCATCCACAATTTAATATTTTTAACTTTTCTAAAATTAATAATCTTATAGAAAAAGAATTTTCAAATTATTTATTGATGTTATATATAACAATTAAGGTATAATTAAAAAAAAATCAATGATGAAAAAATATCAATGTAAATATCTATTAGATTGTAAATTTTAATTTTAGATTGGTGAAAAGATAGAATTACTTTTTTAAAACTAATTGCTTTAATAATAAATTTGAATATTTTAGGTTTTGACTATTTTTATTAATAAAAAAATAAATCCAATTATATATCAATTACATCTACTAATCTCAATGAAGATATATCATATTTTCTACATATCTCTTATTGAGCCTTAATAATAAGATAGTATAAATGAAGGAGATTTTTATTTTTAGAATCAACTTATAAAACTTTCTTGCAAGCATGGAGAACCAACAACCTACATATTCATCTTAAGAATTGTAATTTGAAAAATTATATTATAAAATATTTAGATTAATTTAATCTAGATAACATTATAATTGTAATAAAGATCCTTAAGAGAAACATGTTCTTCCATAAATAGATGGCAAGTTATAATGTATTTGGTACTACAATCTTGAAAGAGACTTTTAATGCTTAGTGATACTATTGGAGGTGGATACTACACTTAAAAGAATGTAAAATATGTTGTTTGAATGTTGTTATGAAGACCTTAACAATGATCAAATAATTGGATGGTCTTCTTGATCTTATATTGGACATTATCAATAGTTTAAAGCACTTTGTGCATAACAAAGAACAAAGTTTGTTGCCAACATCATTTAACAAATCTTAGATTTTGTCAACTTTTGAAGCAATTTGATTGCTCCTTATAAAAATTACTACTTAGAAGGCAGAATAATGTCATTGATATTTGTAATTATTAGTATAGTTACTTTGAAAAGTATAAATAAATATAATTAGACAAAAATAAGTTTATATCTTAATGGAATTTATTTTTTAAATTATATAGATGTGGATTTGACTTTATATATATTGGTAGGTGATTGGTAGGTTGAAAACTTGGCCAACATGTTTGCCACATGTCACACATATTGTCCACATGGTATATATATATATACATTTCAAAGAAAGATGGAAAAATAAAAAAAAACAAAAATATGTATATTCGAGAAGAAATTGGAATAACTATTTTAAAGATAAGAAGACAAAAGATTCTTGAAATTAAACTAGGAGCAAGAAATTTATTACATATTTATTACTAATTTTCCATCTAATTCTAAAATAAATTGTAATAAATTTAAAATAAAACCTAGAAAGAATTCTATAGCATACATGCATCTTAGTGGTAATTTAGAATGTTTTGTAGTTTTTTGGAGCATCTTATAAAGTACTTTAATAATATTTCAAAAGATTATCTAGATTTTTAAAAGTGTCATACAAATGGAATAACTATAAAATAGAAAGATGAATTTTAAATATATATTAAAATATAAAATTTGTTGTATTATAAAGATTTAATGTCTTATAATTTACTTAAAGTAATAATGAAATGATAATTTTTATAATTCACAAAAAAAATTAATATAATTATATATATTTAGCATAAAATTCTTAAATTTATATTACAATTTATAAAAAATTATATCAATATTTTATTCAATGCTATATTTTATTTTTTGCAATTTTAATATAAGTATATGTTTAATACATTTGATTTTTTGTAAAGGACAATTTTACCAAGTAAAATGCAAATAAACATAACTTGAAATGTTTGGATTTTAAATCTTTATGAATAGAAGTTAATGACAAGTCTATTTGACTATTGACACTTCTTAATTTAAACCTTTTCTATCAAAATTTTATGTAATTTATATTATAGCTCTTCAAATGTCATAAATTTTTTTTATAAAAAATCCAATGCAAATTGTTAAGATTATTAAGAGAACTCCCACCAATTTCTTTTTATCTCGTTATCTAGATGTAGTTGTTGTTGGTTGTTATAAAGATTAATTTTATTGCATTAGGTCCACTAAAAAAATAAATAAAATAAAATAAAATAAAATAAAAATCTAGAATTGCATTGGTGTTATTCCATCCTTTATTCTTGTTATCTCATGCATGACAATATTAAATAAGTTTTAAATATTAGGCATAATTAGAACAATACTAAGTCATAAGTAAGTGTTTTATTACCTCACAAGTGTTGAAATATACTATAGAACGATTAAAATAATATATTTCTATTATAAAAATAAAACCTTAATACTTTTAAATCTAGTATTATAAATTTGTTTGAAACTTAGCTTGATTCTTTGATATAAAATTTAGAAATTAACTACACAAATCAAGAACTGAGTGCATTAATTGAACCATGGTATTAACATGCTTATGTCATAATTGAGGAAAATCCACAAGCCAAATTATGAAAGATGAAAATAAGCATTGATGAATTGTAGGATGACATCTACTTTGTTTTTATTCACATGACTAATTCCAAGGTAATAACTCTTTGTACTTGCTTAATTAACCAATTTTATGAAATGTATATTTAAAATAGATTTGTAATACAAAGTTTTCAAATGATTGGTAAAAATTACAACAAACACAATTATTTATCTACAACCTCGGCTTAGAAATGGCCTCGAACTAATTTACAGGCGGGAAGTTTACTATAGTCTGCTATCTTGTGTAGAACTCGAATATGTGTACTTTTGTCAACTACTAGTTGCTCTGCATTGCAAAGAGTTACCACTAATATTCATGGAAAGCCACTATGAACAGAAGACAAGTGTCACACAAAAGTACAAAGAACTAGAATCTACAGGCAGGCATTTTTCCTGCAGTTGAGTCACTAGCATGTGTCCAAAATGGCAGGTGCCCCACTATAAAAATGGGTTCGGTAGAAGAGTAAGCTTTAAGCATATCTCTCCTACACCATTTGTTGACCTGCCAGGAGCCACTCTGTCACGCGGCACGCTGGGAATGGCGTGACTCACTCTTGTTAGTGACGAATTGTAACGCTAGTATGAAAACACGCTGCAGTTCAGGATGATTCCCCACCACGACCAAGAGTGTGTAGCCTGAGCTCCACTTCTTTATTGAATTGTTTAAGGCCAAGTACACTAACCATAATAAAGTGGACTATGAGCAACACCGGAATCTGCAATGTGAGGTGTCCTCCACAAAATTCTGTCCTAACCTGATGGTTTCTCAGCTTTACTCACGTCCCTGGAAAATATCCATCGATGAAAGCACGACATAGGGACCACACAAAGCTGCAGCTGATTCAAAAAGTGTCCACATGAGTTATGAGCTTACAAAGCATCTCTCTTGCTGAGGCACCAGAAAATAGAGACAAAAACCAACAGCTTATGCAGGCAACTGACCAATCAGACGATAGCAATCCAAAAACCGATCATTGCTAAAAGGAGCAAACGGTATTCCTATTTACAAAGCCATAGAAATGCCCAAGGAGCATCATTACCACTGTTTGTTTTACTCAACCTAAGCTCCTGGTTCTCAAGATCAGCAGGAAGGAATGTCCTATATCACCTTCAGTGTGGCAGGACATGAAGGCTCCCTGCAAAGCTCGACTCCTGCTGCGAAAAAAATTCAAACCACTCACCACATGACAAGTGCTGGAGTTCAGACTGCTCTTCCAAGGACCCCCAAAGAGTTGATACTGAAGCTGTTCTTGCTTAAGACTTGTACTCCAAACAGGTGCATGAAAATACTAGAACAACTACCTGGCTTTGTACACTATTAAAAAAATAAAAAATAAAAAATAAATAAAAAAAACTTGAGAGAGGCACTTTGGCTAACTGTGGTCCATTTGAACATAGAATACAAAAGAGAATCTATCAAAAGAGAATTGACAACCCTATCCAAGGTTGAACAAGTAGTTGTGCTCAAGACTGTACAACAACTTGTCTGCTTCTAAGTGATCTGTGACGACTTCCATGGGTAGAGTGTTTCCGCTTCTTCGACTCGAGTGGTGTGGCGCCAACGTACTGGCCTTTCCGCTTAGCCCCACTGGCGTAACTAGAAGCTTCGTCCGACGGCGGTGCAAACTTTCGATGGAATGCACGTTGCCAAACGGAGTCAGAAGAGGAGAGACGAGAGAGCCGATGGCTAACACAGGACAAAGAGCACAAATCCTTATGATCTAGGAAGCCGCCATCTACCCCCACCCTTAACACACGTAACCAGAGTTCATCCGAAAGAGATCCAATAGACCTCTCTGCATTTTCTGACTGGCTCACAACCTCGTCATTATACAATTCATCTGAAAACACTGTGGCCATGTCAGCTATCCAACGCTTTACTCTATTATCACACGTGGTCTTCAGGGGACGAAACCCTACAATACAAGCACAAATGTCTGAGCACACCCAGAGACGTATTCTCTCTACAATGTCAGATTACAAGCTGCGAAGTTGGAACTTCAGCCGCCTATATGCAGTAACATACATGCGGATCCACTCTCCAGGATGCTCCTTTGTAGATCCAAAATTTGATGAGTACAACCGTCTCTCCTTCGTGCTTGAAAGACGCGTCCAGGCCGATCCCTGTCAAGCTAGGCTGTTGGACTTGCCTGAGAACACCTCGCAGCTAAAGCTGTTACCCAATCCCACCCAGACCATTGCATGGGCAATAAGAATCAACAATCTTTGGACAGTGTGTTCTGTAATCCAACCAATTACACCTCACAAAAGATGACACAGGTAAAGGTTACACTAGTGTTTACACAAGACCACTTCATAGGTCCTTCAACAGAAAAGGCGAAAATAACTCAAATAAAAACGGTGTTTCAATTCACTGGAAAGCAAGAAATACTAAGCAAATTGTATGGGGCAGTAATAAATTCCATGGCATGTTGCTACAACCAGGAAGCTGATATACTCCTTTTATATTTGCTATTGCATCATCGTGTAAGTGACCTTAAACCACATAGCTCTGTAAGCAAGGCGTATCTTGATGCGTGAAGCCCCTCAACACAAATGTTCTAATCATACTTCAACTTAAACATCTGTTCGCACTTGAAACGAATCTAAAATGTACCGGGAAGCATCTAAATACAAATATTGCGAGCAAAGAAGAGGAACTTCATAATCAATACGTTGAAAGTAGATGCTGTTATTAATACTAAAATCTAATTGTTTTGATCCATAACCATTCGAGTTCTATCGAATCATGAAAGTGAGTACTTACACTTCATGCTCACCTCATCATGTAATCGTATGATATCTGTTACTACCCGTCACAGGTTACATGTGTAATAAACCATCTGCTCCAAGTAATGACGAAACAGCAGCCAAAGCACGCAACAGGCAACAACATGCACCGTCATTGAGGATCCAAGCAAAGACGCAACGATAAAAGAAATATCTGCTGGAAAGTCTGTCGACGTCCTCTAAAGCAAATAACGACATCAGGACAATATATGAACGATCCATATCCAGTATCAAAGTACCAACTCAGTAAACTCTCCCGCAATCTGAGTTGTTCCATCTGTCTAAACGCTAGTATCGATATATATAAGAAGAACCTATGTTAAACAACCAGAGCTAAGCTCCATACCGTTCAATCTATACCACGCAATCCTAATAAGAGAGGACAAACAAACTCGACCAGACCAGGTTTAGGCCCAAAATTTTCTAAAACATTTAAAATTAACAGTCTGGCATCACCACTCCGATTATCAACCAAAGTCGACCGAGAGCAAACTTCCAAGCTGTGGATAAAGTAGAAAACTTTCCAGACAGACACTAAAAGACACGAACCCTAGAAAACGGCGGCTACTTTCACAGCCTCTTCTCGGGAACTTCAAACTCATTTCGACATCACGAAATTCTGCAGAGTTGGTCCCTGCGTCACCTCATCGATATGTCCAAAACCCACTATCCCAAAACATCAAGCTTTCTACCCGACAGCCTAATCCGCTGCACCCTCCACAACACGAACTTCGAACGGAGCAGCCCTAAAACAAACCAAAAAACCAAATAAATAAACAAATAAATAAAGCAAACAAATAAAAGGTTTCTACGCTATGGTCTACTTTAAAACCCTGCGCTGCTCGGAATCATGGTGTGATGCGAACCCACGTGGGGAAGAGAGCGAGAGAGAGACAGAGAGAGAGATACAAGACGTGCAAGCTGCAAGCAACGCAACAGCCGCAGCAGTATCATCAGCTAGCGGCAAAGGTCTCATACCTGGTCCTTTTTTCCCCACTCCAATCCTGGCTGGTTTCGACAATCCTCGGATGCCGCAGCGACAGTGCAACAGAACAGAAACGGGGGGGGATGAGGGTGGGGGTATGGGTGAAGGGTGAGGGTTGTAGACAATCGAGGGGGCCACGATTATTTGGGTCACCCCCCTGCGGTAGGAAAACGATGTGTGATGAATGGTGATGATCCTCCTCCCCCTCCTCCTCCCCCTCCTCCTCCTCCTCCTGCTTCGTCTTCTGCTGCTTCTGCTGCTGCTGCTGTTGTTGGTGATAATTGTGCGGTAGTCCTGGAAGTGGCAGTGGTGGTGGAAAATTTCACTCCGCCGTAATGAATGCTCTCGCCCGTCCTCGCTTCCCTCCCACCAACGCCCCCCTTCCTCCACCTCCATCGCCCAGCCTTCCTTCCCTGCACACACCCCCCCCCACCTCCTGCACAGCCCGGATTATGGCCTTTCTCATCCATATTATTCATCCATTTTTCCATCCGTCTTGTTCTCATCTGTCCGTCTCATCCATCCGTTCCATTGATGTGTTCCCTAGGTGCGTTCGCTTCGTACGTTCCCCTCCTGCATTTCATTCGTTCGGAGTCTTCAATCGTTGATGAGGTGGATGGATGAAGGTGCGCCAATGTGCAGTTCAGAAAAAAAAAAAAAAAAGGCAAGGCCTGCACTGCACAGCCCTATCAGGCTTCTATTTTTATTTATTTTGTAATTTTTTGTTGTGTGGGTTGTTTTTCGGTTTCCTGAGTTTGGTGTCGTAATTGACGCTTTACTCCGATGCAGTGTTTTCCACTGAAAAACCTCTCGTCTTTTTGTGAGTGGATCTTGTTTCAAACATGCTTTCTCTTCGATTGCTGCACATTCTCTTGTTGCCAACGTTTCTTGTGTCCGTGCTGTGATTGTACCATGTGACTGAATAATTAATTTGGGGTTTCTAGATTGTTTACAGTTGTTTGTTTTGCCTGCTATTCGTAGAACATGTTGTTTTTACATTTATTTGTTTACTTTCTGTTCATTATACTTAAGCTTTTCTTGATTGCTTCTGACAAAATTCACATCTAGGTGAAAAATTTAGTCTTAGTCATGCAAAAAGTTGTATTTGTATTATTTTTAAGACATTAGGTCCAATGACTTCTGTATATACATATATACATACATTCATATATAAACTCATAATTGCATACATAAAATTGCCAATACACTAATATGTGAATTTTATTTTATCAATTTGTCCTTCATAAGTAATAATTTAGTAATCCATGGTTTGATATTCCCAATTACATTAAATAAATTACAAAATTTGTATTGTTCAATTGATTGGTCCAGATAGCTATTATTCATTTTTGTATTTCTCTAAGTTTAGTGAATCAGATTATGTTAAAAATACTATTGAAGATCTGTTCAATATTAAGTGCTTTGGAAATTTTGCTAAAGAGATTATAATTACAATACAATATGAAGAAATTATAATATTCTGAAAATATCAAAAGTAAAGAATAGGTATGAAATACAAAAAAATTGCTGAAATTTTGCATATATTACTTGCAACTACATCCTTCTTAGACATTGATGTTATTTTAATAGACACAAATCTTACAATCAAGCTACTACCTTTATATACCTCAAAGTTTTGATTAACAAATAAATTGATTCAATGAAGATTTGAAGTAGATCTTTCCAATGTATTATTATATTTTTGTATTGATTTTTGTGATCTATGTAAAACATATAAAATAAAATAAAAATTACAAATTCAACAATCAATGTAAGATCATGTATTCATGTCTAATATATATGTATATATATTTATATGTATATAAATACCCACCTGTATATTAAATTGACCCACCCAATAGTGGAGAACTAGGGAGGTTGAGGTGAGAACTAAGAATAGGGGATTGGAGTAAAAACTAAGAATGGAGGGAGGGAAATGAAGGGTTGGAATGAGAACGAGGAATTGGAAGAGGAGAACGGAGGATTGAGATGAAGAAGGCTTGGAATAGAAGGAGCATGGATTGGGAACAAAGGGGGTCCGGATGAGGACCATGATTGTAATAATAGTTTGTCGAAATGATCCATTTTTCTAATGATGGTTATAATAGAGTAAATCGATTTAGTAAATGGGTGGATCATTTTAACATTTTCCTATATATATATATACACACACACATATATATATATATATATATATATATATATCCAATATATATTTATCTATCAAAAAATAATTATATATATATATATATATACATATTCAATTTATGTTTATCTATCAAAAAATAATTATATATATATATATATATGAATAATAGCCATAATAATCAAATTTTTGGAATATATTAAAATACATAAAGAAAAAAAAAACAAGAAGAGAATCCAAATTTTTTTTTAATTATTCTTCTCCCTCATACAACCATAAAAATAAATTTATATATAAACTCAATATAATTCAATACAAATAAAAATCTTATATATATTTTTTAATGTAATATATGAATATGTAAAAATTAATTCGAACATATATAGATATTATAATTAAATTATTTTCTAATAGATAATTTTGAAATATGATTTAATTAATACTACTCACTTTTTGGGATGTTATCAAGGACAAGAACATAATAAAGAAAAATAAACAAATGAAACTTTTTTCAAAGAAAGATGAAAAAATAGAAATAACTTGATATGTACATTAAAAAAGAAACCGGAATGACAATTGCTAAAAGACAAGAAAACTAAAGACCCTTGAAACTAGATTGGAAGCAAGAAAGGAGTTGACAAGAGTGAAGAGGGCTTCACTCTTGTCTCTATATATACTATTTAACTAGGGGCTACGTGGCGACGTTCTATAAGACCTCCAATATGTGTTGACTTTGTATGACACATGCCTTGACTAACCAGACAAGTTTTTCTACATGTGGGCCACATAGTTAGCTTGGTCTTCAAGCTAACAACATGTGTGGCACATGGCCATCTTGTTGACCACATTTCTAATCCAAAAGTCAATTAAAGACACCTATAAAGACAAAGTAGCATCTATAAAGCTTCTAGAAAGCTTACATATGAAATGCTATAGAATTAACTTACTTTTACATACTTTTACTTACTTCTACATATTTATATATGTAATTATTGGCTTACATGTGTATGTCCATGACATTATCCCCCCTTCTAAGGATGAGTTCTACGAGGAGCGGTAATCATATGTTGAGGAAATCTATGATGTGACAAATTATATTCACTATATACTCTGATCTTTGTTCTCTTTGAAGATGATTGATAGGGCCTCTCAACCATCGGTAGTGTCTCATACCAGGGCGGGAAGACTACCTAATTATTTGATCATTATTGGGGCCTTGATGACTTCTTTTGAATAAAACATTTGGAACACCTTGAGGAGTTGTTCCTACCTCTAGTAAAATCACCAAACATCATGAGTCCCTTTCAAGGTCGTGATATCAAACGTGTTGTATTTTGCCATCTATTCGAAGAAGAACATGTCGTTCTTGAAGATCTTCATCTCAATTACGTCATCTTGATGGTTGAGACAATCGTAATGTCTTATCTGGCAGGTAATCAAACAAAGGCTCTTGAGTCGAATCTACTAGTTGTTGGTTCTCCATCTCCTGAGCATCACAACTACAAAGAAGCTACAAACAAGGATTGAAAGTAGAATGATAGCTTGCCTAGATCTTGTTTCTTTTATAAAGAAGGTTTTTATCTTGATTTTGATGGATGTTGTCGATGAAAAGCCTCCACCGCCTTTGCTCCATTTGCAAGATTCTTTATTGGCTCCCATGTGCATTCACTAATATCATATCCATATCAATGGACAAGATATTCCAATTTATTTCAGCGCCGCCTTAAATCTAAGAATTCTTCCACTTCAAATTCTTTATTATTGTCCACTTCTATAGAAGGAGGTAGATCTTGTCTTCTTCTTGGTATGTCCACTGTCTTATATGGTTCAAGAAGAGACACGTGGAATACTTGATGGATTTTTATTGACTCCGGTAGATGTAAATGATATGCAATTGGATTGATTTGTGCAAAAATAGAAAATGGTCCAAGCCTTCAATAGTCCAACTTGTCACAAGGACGAGTGGTCTTGAAATTGGGATGAAGTAATCATACCTTATCACCCATGTGGAATGGTGGTTGTTCCTTTTGATAGACATCTGCATTGATCTTTTGTTGTTCTTGAGCTTCTTTTAACTACGCCTTCATTGTTGCATGTAGCTCTGACAAATTAATTGCCAAATCTTTCGTAGTAGGATTATCAACTTTTGAAAAGTCAAAAGTATCAAGTCGTGGATGATAACCATAATTAGCAAAAAAAGGTGTTTATTTTGTAGAATAATGTATCATATTATTGTAAGTAAACTTTACTAATGGCAAAAGAGTTGTCCAATCATCTTGTTAGTAGTTAATGGTACATCTTAAATAGTGCTCCAAAACTTGAAAAACACGCTCCGTTTGTCCATCAGTTTGAGGATGGAATGCCGAAGTTAGTTTTATATCCACTTTTAGAATCTTGAAAATAGTCCGCTAAAATCTTGATACAAATTGAGTTCCCCTATCTGATATAATATCCTTAGGTAATCCATGATAGTGATAGATATTATCAAGAAAGAGCTTAGCTGCTTCTTCACCTGTGATAGATTTTGTACATGATACTAAATGTGCTATTTTGGTAAAACGATCTACTATCACAAATATAGAGTCATAAGAACCTGAGATTGGAAGGTCCGTTATGAAATCCATAGAAATAGAAGACCATAGTTGTTTTGGAATGGATAATGGCTGAAGAAGTCTGTTAGGTCGATAACGAGGAGTTTTTGATCTTTAGCAAATATCACAAGATTGTACAAAATCTTTAACTGCTTTCCACATTTGGAGCCACCAAAAGTCTCTGGATATTAGTTCTAAAGTTTTATTGTACCCAAAATGTCCTCCTGCTGGAAAGTCATGACGAGCTTGAAGAGTACGTAATCGAGCTTCATCTTCTGGAACATATATGCGTCCCTCAAATTATAGTAGATTCTTCTTGAATTCAAACTTGGAAGTATCATGAAACTTTGAAAGATTTTCCTTAATATCATGAATAAGAGAATCAGAAGACATACTTGACTGAACTTGCTTAATAAAAGTTGAATTAATAGTTAGTGTTGATTTTATTGCTCGAAGATGAAGATGCTATGGCTTCAAGATAATTGTCTGTTATTGATCAAAAACAACATCTCCTTCCTTTAGTGCAAGATAACATCATTTACAGAGTGTATATGACAAACCTTTTTGTTTTCCTGGTCCATAAGTGATCTTGAATTCGAATCTTGACAAAGACATATTCCAACAAGCTTGGCAACGATTCAAAACACGTGCTAACATAAAATATTCAAGGTTCT